CAATAGTCGGTATAATACGAACTGTAAACTTTAATATAAGGCTATTAACTTTAATATAAGGCTGTTAACTATATATTTAATATAAAGCTGTTAACTATATGTTTAATATAAGGCTGATAACTTTAATATAAAACTTTAATATAAGGCTGAAACGTACATGTCAACGGGTTTATGTTTGACCCATTAATATTACGTTCCATTTTTTGTTTCGAAATAATTCGAAATAATAATTTTATTTAATAATATCTTATTCTATTTAATAATATCTTATCGAAATGAAGACGTCTTATTTTTGTTTCGAAATAATTTCGAAATAATATCTTGAGATTCTAAAGAGTTATACACTATACACCAATCAATAACAGAATAATGACTTTATTAAGGTTGTTGTCCTGTACGAGACATGTTGACTTGTACAGGATAAGAATAATATGAGCGTGTGTGGCACAACTATAGCAGGAAATAATTCCAGTAACTTTGTAGCATATTTTTAGAATATATATATATATATATATATATATTATATATATATATATATATATATATATATATATATATATATATATATATATATATATATATATATATATATATATATATATATATATATATATATATTAGGGTCGTCCAGATTTGTGTGGTGAAAATTCAAAGTGTGTCTAGATTCTCTCCACAAGCCTAACTTTGATCCACTATGCTTAGGGAATAACCATACAAAAAATTGGACCAATCTGAACAGTTTTAGGGGTCGCTATGATTTCATCATTTTTTTGACGGTACTCGATTTTTTACGAATTTTTGTGTAAGTTTTGCATAATTGAACATCTATCTCAACATTGTGGTAAATAAATTAATGCTTGCTGAAAAGCAGATGCTATATAAATTCATTTATATATCTAATATCTTTTAGTTGTCTATTGTCACATGATTTGGCGGCCATCTTGTAATAAGCACATGTCTGCAGTATTTCAATAAAAATTTTATAAGGATTATTTTTTTATTTCTGGTAACAAATATTCTTATACTTAAGTATTATATTTTATATATATATTTATTATATAGTTAATATAATGAATTAAAAATAAATTATTATTAAATTAAATAGTTTTCAAAAAGAATATGCTATAAAAATTCATTTATATATCTAATATCTTTTATCAATTGTCACATGATAAAGTGACCATCTTGTATTAAGCACATGTCTGCAATATTTCAAAACAAATTATGTTTTTCAGTAATGTTTTTTCATTTCTGTTAATAATATAAAGTACTAAATATCAATTATATAAAATTAAATAGTTGAAGAACAAAGAATCATTTCAACTTAAACTTCTGCAGGTAATTAATAAATAATAAAAATATATATTACACCACTTATGGCAGTTACTACAAGAAACTCTGCAGAGGTATGGCTCATTGGGAAAGCATCTAAGCAGCTCTCCTCGTCAAGATTGACAACAAATGGAGATGTCCTCCGGTGTCTCCTCTTTCATCATCTGGAAGAGCATCTCACAATAAAGGACAGCATTCACCATACGATTCAAGAGCTGATTGTTATGTGGAATAAGGCAAGAATCCCAACACAAAGAATTGATTCTGGTGAAAGAAAACTTCAGAAATTATACGATTCCTATCTGCTCCTAAAAAAGAATCGAACTACAGACCTGGAAAGCAGTAGAATTAAAGAACAGATGTTCAAAGACACACTTTACGAGCTTTTTGACTTGGCAACTAAAACTGCTTCCAGATATCACCGGTTCAAAAGAAACCGTGGACCGAATTGCAGTGATTGTAACTGGAAATGGTTTGGAGAAATTGCTAGCAGTTCCAAAAATTGAAAGAGGAACAGGAGAGGAACAAGCAGCAGCTTGCTTAAAGATCTTGGATGATTGGAAAATTCGAGACAAACTTCAGGGTTTAGTCTTTGACACAACCTCGTTCAACACAGGTATCCACAAAGGAGCTTGTGTTCTCATCGAGAAAGCAGTTGGTCGTGATCTTGTAAATATTGGTTGCCGCCACCATGTTCTGGAGGTCATTCTGAGCAATGTCTTTACAGCTCTCTTTGGTGGAACAGGGGGACCTGAGGTTGGCTTGTTCAAACGGTTT